GAGAGAGAGAGAGAGAGAGAGAGAGAGAGAGAGAGAGAGAGATTGATTTGGGATAAACAGAATTTATTTTGAAGATACTGTTTTTGTATTATTAGATTCACATTTATTTATGGATAATCAGGAAGAGTTCAGAAAATATGAAACTTGCTTAACTCTGTTGCTTGTGTAAATGTCATGCCTTCAATTACCTACAAATGGCAAGTGTAATAATGGCACTGTTCTTAGGATATTTATTTCTTTTCTCCAGATTTTAGGAGTATATAATAAATTCTAAAACTCTAATAAGGAAAAATGGAATACAGGGAAAAGTCCTTAACAAACACAATCACAATATAAGTTATTTGCATGCAAATTATCAATAAAGCAGTTTTATAAAAAAATCTTGTTTTTCAATTTATTTTTAAACACTTTCAAATATCTTCCTATTTCTCTCCTGTGCTTTGACATCATTATATGAATTACATTAAAATACAACTTATGGAAGTGGCATTGATATGCAAAGAAGTTTACCTAAGTTATATATTTTTTTAATCTCCAATTCACTAAGCACTTAAAAATGTGTTTCTTTGTTTTCTTGGATAGCACACATATGGGTGCTTGTGTAGAAATGCAAGCTTTGTGATTCTAATCAAGGAAGTTAAAGTTATCTTGATTCACCAGATGCAAGAGGGCACAGAAAATACAGTACTACTCAAAACAAGTGGGCAGAACAGCTTTCAGTTCGTCTGAATCCTAGCACCATCACTTCTACTCTGCCTCCCACCTAGGCCCCAATCAATCTTTTTTTTTTTAAAGTGTACATGATAGATTGCATTCACATGTTCTTTTTTTTTTTTTTAAGAGAGAGAATTTTAACATTTATTTTTTTAGTTTTCGGCAGACACAACATCTTTGTTTGTATGTAGTGCTGAGGATCGAACCTGGGCAGCACGCATGCCAGGCAAGTGTGCTACCGCTTGAGCCACATCCCCAGCCCCCCCAATCAATCTTAAGGCAGTGCTAGAATTTGCCACGCATTGAAATAGAACTTCAAAGGGGAAATGAGACGGGGATAGCAAGTCCTTTTCAACTAAAGGAATAGAACAGATAGAATTCCCTGTAGCTGGCTGATGAGTTCTCAGCCAGAGGGCAATGGGCAAGAGGATTACTTCGTGGTGGAGAGACGTCTCTCCCCTTTTCATCACCTCTTCCTTGGCTTAGGCCAAGTGCAAAAGGAAAGCTGTGGGTGAGGCAGACACCAGGGCCAAGTAATATGATTACAGGAATCTAATCTTTTTCTCAGACCCTCAACATCATGCTTTTCTAATGTCATACCTCATTTCCTCAAATGTCCTTTATTCAGCTACTAGAATCTTTAAATCTTCATGGTTTCACTAATATTAGCAAAGCAGATATGGGAGTTCATAATTTATATGATTTGGTGGGTGGGCCTAGAGCATATCAGCTAGGACCACTGATGCCAAAGTTGTCTTCAATGTTTTTATTACACAGAACCAAATCTTAGATCTAGATCATCTTGCATTTCTACTTTAAGAAGGATAAAACAGCAAAATGCTGCACTTCAAGGGTCATCCCTGCCAAATCTCTGGAGCCTGGGCTGGCTCAGCAGTCTGAACGGTGTGTTCAAGGCTACCCCAAAGGCCAGTTCCAGTGAATGAGTCTCCTCACCCGCAATCTGATATTCAGGTCAGATGCAGCTTAGGAGAAGTTTTGGTAATCAGAACCTTGTGGCTGGGAAAATGCTCCCTGAGGATTGTGACTACAGACCTTGTGAATGCTAACACTGGTGGAAGCAGGTAAAGAGCCTCTTCCAGTGGGGAATACTAGGAAGAGATGCCTAGCAGAGTACACTGCTATGCTTTCTTCTTCTATGACATTTATTAGTAGGTTCTGAAAATCACACGGGGACTTAATCCATCTTATTTATGCCTTAATATGCCAGTGATCCATGCCAATGGAACATGGATTAAAAAAAATCCACAGAGAAGTCCAAAGTTAATTTTAGTAATTGCTTCAATGTCCAAATCTCAGGATAAATCTTACAGGGCTTGGTTAGGTTGGGTGTGAAGAACTTCAGAGCAGTGTAGGCTGTTAAATACTGAAATGAATTAATAAAAGAAGCAGCAATAATTCCCTCCTGGAGAAGAAGAGAGAACTGCATCCGACTGACTGGTCTAATGGTAATGCCATCTTATGAAGGATTTTGAACAATGTCCAGTAATAGCTCCTTTGAGACCTGGGATCTTGTGAATGCCAGTATTTTCTTCCCTGCCTCTTTCCCCTTTCTTTATACATCTGTCGTGGAGAAGAAAAAAAGTTAAAAGTTGAATAGCAAAGTGAGAAATTATGACCGGACAATTACATTGCAGGGGTAACTTGGAAGTGTCTGCACTTGGAGTCTGGGTTTGTATGTTGGTTCTGCCACTTACAAGCTTTATGACTGGGTAAATTATTCTTCCTCTGAATGCCTCAGTTTTCTCATGGTAAGGAGATCATAATAATAAATGGCACATAAAAATGTGAGGATTAAATCTATTCATAAAGTCTTTAGATCATTGCCTGGCCCATGATAAATAATTAACATTAGTTATTATTATTATCAGATCTGGAGAGCTTAATCATATAGGACCTTTCATCTGAGCAAAACCAACAATATTCTTTTAATGATCATATTTACTTCACAGGTTCCCCAAAAATAAAAAAAGAAGATGGGTAACTCTGCCAAATTCATGCTTTGAGTAAGGTCCTTTAACTGCTTCCAACTCTTTGAGATTATGATCCAAGATAAATGATATTTGCCTCTCACATTACAATGAAGGTCAAGATTTGGTACTGAGGACTGAACCCAGGGGTACTCTACTACTGAGCTATATCCCCAGTCCTTTTTTATTTTTTACTTTAAGATGGGATCTCACTAAATTGCCCAGGCTGGCCTTGAACTTGCCATCCTCCCACTTTAGCTTCCTAAGTAGCTGGGTTTACAGGTGTGCACCACCATGCCTGGCTTCTCCTGGGCCCTTTAGTAAAAGAACACAAATAACTTTAGCATCAATAGGGGGGAAAAGACATGAATCTATCTGTCTGTCTGTCTGTCTGTCTTTTCCCCTAGCAAGAGCTTTGGTCACTTAGCTTACTTTGTTAAAATATAAAATAACCAATATTTGAAAAACACTTTCAACTGATGACACCACTGTTGTAGAGGATAGAATTTAGACAGTAACAGCAATTCCCTTCTGGAAAATAAAATATCTATATCTGACTGAATGGTCTACTTATAGTGCTCTGTGTACAGCCTCTGCATCTAACTTCCCGAATACTAACAGGATAAGTCCTGTGCTTCCACAGACCATGATTTCCTCACCTGTAAAACAGAGGTGGGAAAGATACCTAACTGCCAATTTCTGATTTGCTGTGAAGTGGAAAGGGATTAACAGATTTCAGAATATAGCAAACACTTTCAAAAATGTGGTGTGTGTGTGTGTGTGTGTGTGCTCATGATATTGCTGACATTAGATTATACTACTATAAATTATTTTATTCTAAAGGAAAACTAAGACATTTATTTTTATGAAACAAGACAGTGAACTTGTAGTAAATAGACATCTTTAATGTTTGTTTCTTCTTCCTTATCTCCTTCACCTTTACCCACACACAGACCCTTTCCCCTGTTCCAATACAAAAGTGACCAATCACAACCTTGGAGACTGAGAAAAATATTCTAGATGTTGTTTACTCCATAGATGTTTTTTTTTCCCCCTAGTGGTGGGTGATTTCTTGTTCCTTTCCATGGAGACAGTTGGAATCTTTTATTGCATCTTTCATCTGGAGGACAAAGGGAGGGACAGGATTTGTGGGAGAGAAGGCAGAGCAGGGTTCTTCTTTCATTGTAAAATGTTCCTTGTAAAAAAGATGATATATACATATATATATAATATATCCAGTGCAATTGTTCTGCCAAACACTGGGAAGTGCCACCTTGGTCGATGTATTTCTGGAGTTTTAAACAGTTGTCCTACAACAGCTGCATTTTAGTAAGACTTGGGCAGGTGGCTCCAGATCAGCCACTTGCCACTCACATTCAGACTGAGGCTTCCATGTTCACAGTCCAAAGGAAAAAGTGTCTTTCTGTCTGGAGTGGGTGTTGTGGGAAGGAGATGGGCAGGAAAGAAGCTGGAGGCTGAGTCTTGAAGAAGGAAGAATTGGCTTCTTTTTACTTCTCTACTACAGTCTTTGTTGCAGATTTTAATGACATTTTTAAACCTGAGGATGTTGACATCAGTAGTGTATTGATCACACTGCCTAATGAAATAATTCACAACAGCATAAAAAATATTTTTCCCATTCCATGAAAGCTTATGGTGTCATATCACCTGACTAAACAATCTCACCAGATATTTCCAGTGATTTGGCCAAAATCATTGAAAATAATTCAGAGTCTCTGGATCTGCTCTTTTGGAAGAGATTAACTTTAGATGAGATTTCTATAAATGTGCCTTTTAATTTTCTCAATACATGGAGAAGTTTGAAGTCTCTGCCTTCCCCCATGTCCTCATCCACGAAGTGAGAGGCACAGATGCTGAGCCTCCATGGCTGGTCAGAAAGGAAAGGGAGGGGAAACCCTGGGTCAGCAGATCAGCTCAGAAGGGATGCACCACAGAGGGAATAACGAGGAGCTGCAAACCAAGATCAGAAGCTGTTACAAACCCACTCCATTTCAGCTCTGAGTCATCAATTGCACTATGCAGAGACCTACAGGGAAGAAGTTGGGCTCTAAAACCAGTACAGATCCTTGCTTTTGTCCTGAGGCTGTAAACCTGAAAACAGAGAAGATAAAAGAGAGAAAGAGAAGGTGGGGAAGAGAGAGGGAGGAAAAGAAAAAAGGAAGGTGGGAATGGGGGGGGGAAGGAGAAGGAGGGAGAGAGAGAGAGGGAGGGAGGGAGAGAGAGAAAGAAAGGAAAAACAAAAAGAGAGGGAGAGAGAAGGAAGGGGGAGGGAAGGCACAAGATATTTAAGAAAAGAGAAAAACAAAACACCACTGTTTTATTGTGAAAGTCACAGACTTCATCTAAAGGGGGAAAGGGTAAATGGTGAATGAAAGTAAAATCAAAGCAAACAGAAAAGTAAATCTTCACCTGAGTGGAGAAGACTACAAGCTAGTTGTTTCACTTTTAATATAACATTTTTTTCCATTTGTTCTAAAAATAAAAAAAAGCAAAAAAAAAAAATCCTCATTTATACCTTTCAAATTAAGTCAGAGATTTAGCATCTCAGCATTATCGTTAAAATCACAGTCTGTAAGTTTTACATTTTAAGATTCCTATTTAATTTGGCAATTAAGCTGATCTAAGAATCACATGACTGTCACTAGGAGAGCCCCAAGCAAGTCATACAGTATTTTAAACTACACTCTCAGCAGGTACTCTAGATCAGCGCTGTCCAATAGGAATACAGTGGGAGCCAGAGGCATAATCCTAAATTTTCTAGCAGCCACATTTTTAAAAAAAAGTAAAAAAGAAACAAGTAAGAATTTTAATAGTATGTTTTATTTAACCCAATATATTTAATATGCAACGTTTTGAACATATTTGAACATGCAAAATCAATATAAAAATATTAACGAGGTGAATTTTACATTATTTTTTAGCACAATGTTTTTGAAACCCCAGTGTGTATTATGTACTGACAGCACATCTTAATTTGCCCTAGTCACACATACTAAGTGCTCAGTAGTCACACTGTGGCTAGTGGCTACAATTCTGAACAGCGCAGAGCTAGAACCTTTGCACCAGATTTTATTTAAAAAGAAAAGAGGGGAGGGAGTCTTCTGTAATATTTTATAGCCAGGTTAGGGCAGGATCCTATTTTCTAACCCAGCCCACATCGATGGCACAGGGTTCTGTATCAGCCCAAACACAATCCATGCAGATTCTGACCACAGAGTCCCGGAGTCTCCCAAGACTAAAGGGGTCTAAGGCTTAGCCCAGGGTCGGGTACAGCGCTGGAGGGGCTCCGGAGAGGCTACACTCCCTCCTCCGCTTACCTGAGTCCACGCTGAGGCCCAGGCTCTGGGTCACATCCCCCGCAGGGCTCACGAAGGGCCCCCCGGGCGCGGTCCACGCGCCTCCGGCTGGCTCGCCCTTTGCGGAGAGCTCACAAGGTGGGCTGCCGGGTGCGGGTGCCGGAGCTGTTGCAAGACGAGCCGGGCGCCCGGAGGAGGCGGGCATCAGCAAAGGACCATAGCGAGGGTCGAAGTGCGGCGCGTAGACTTCATGCACAGTGGCAGGTCGCGGGTAGGCAGCGGCCTGGGCGCCAAGGGCGCCGCCCAGCGCATACGGGTGGTGGGGATGTGCGTGGTGCGGGTGCGCGTGGTGCCATGCCTCGGCTGCGCCCTGGTGCAGGTGGCTGTGCAGCGCCGCGGGAGAGTAGGGGTCTGCGGTGGCGAAGGGTAGCTCAGAGTGAGCCGCGGCCAGAGGACTGCCCAGAGGTGCGGGTACTGGTGCCTGGTACGCGCTGTTCCAGAAGGAGGCGGGAAAGCTGCGCTGGTTCATCGGGAAGGAGCTGTCTGCTGGCGGGGGAGGCGGAAAGGAGGAAACACAGGACCAGGTCACTGCCGCTCTACGGGAACGCTAACCCACACTGCCTTTTGAACTGAACAGCCCGGCTGGGTAAGGGCGGGAAAGCTGCAGCTGGGTGTGTGTGAGAGGTGGACCGGTAGCATCTGTCTCCGAGCTGCACCTTTACAAGGACGCAGCTGGTAAAAAGGAGGTCCCGGCACCCAGAAATCACCACAGCTGCTGGATTCCTTCGATTTTGCAGAAGCCTTAATGCAGAAACCGGACAGTGGAAGAGAGGAAGAACGGAGAGGTCCCTTCTGCCTGCACAAGTTTTGGGGAACAGGAAGCTTTACCCCACTTCCCCGCCCGAGCTGCCTGGGCAGCCTCAGGGCAGACGCGACTTTCCTTTCTCTGTCCTCAGGCTCTCCTCAAGCTACGACCCGTCCTCCAGTTGGCCGCCTAGCGATCTCACTACCTCCTCTCGCCTTTCAGTCTTTCTTATTCCAGAAATTGTGCCCCTCCAAGGTCTCTGATAGACTCGCAGTTCATCAACATATTTCGAAGTCTTGCTATTATTAGTTTTCTTTTTAGAAACCTTATTTCAAATATTTTTTTCACCAAAAACTCAAGCAAAAGGGTAAAACAGATATATTAAAGGAGCTGTTGTATTATTTGCAAAGAGGGACATTAAGGGACAGGTTTTTAAATCCTAAATCTCAATAAACAAATTGTCTGCATCAAAATAAGGACGTCAGGAATAATAATAACAACAATAATAGTAATAGTCATTTTATCTGTTAATCCCTAATGCATGGTAGCATTTTAAGGGAACAGCGATTAAATTAATTTTTTTTTTTTTTTTGCTTTTAGTAGGAAAGGAAAGACATACATTTAATTCAAAGCCCCATCCTCTGGGGGAAGCCATCTGTACTAAATACAAGAGAATTTCAAATTACTTGAAATGTATGCTAAATGGCAAACAGTCTTCCCCTTAAAATATTCAGGTAATTGGAGAATAATAATAATAATAATAAAGTCCTGTATTTAAACTATTTTGGGGGGTCTTGTCTAAGGACAAGATTTATGCAAACTGCTAGACTCTTAGGGAAAAAACGGTGGGTGGGTGGGGAAAGGGAGCATCCTCATCTCCTCCAAAATGACAATTATTTTTAAACAATAAAGTCCTCATTTCTCAACTTGGTACACATCAAAAACTAAGCTCAGTGAGCAAGTTTATTAAATGTTTTCTCCTACCTTTGTCTTATTGTGAATAAAAGGAAGCTGAAATTTCAGAATAGAAGAGAGATTTGGTTGACTTAAGTAATCATTGTCTCAGACTAAAGTGGTGCTTTATGGGGAGGGAAGAAAAATCTTTAAGAGGAGATGTGTTGGGAAAACCACTACATTTGCTATTGAAAAGACATTTTCTGCTTAAAGATTTCCTAAGTAATGGAAACATGGCAAAAGGCATAGGTTGGTTTTAGGGCATGTTCTCCAGCAGATGTTGCTTGCAGAAGGAGTCCAGGACTTCTGGGCAAATTTTCTTTTTTTTTTTTGAAAAAAAATTGAAATTGGAAAAATGCCCATTAAGTTGTTGGTAAAGTTCCTGTGCCACTGAGTTTGGGAGGGTGTTGGAAAACTCAAATTTACATACATTCTAATGTTCCAGTCTTAAAGCTTTCTCTGATGATGGTTAGGATGGCAAGTGTTATTCTAATTTTAGAGACTATTAAATAGTGACCTCCAAAAGGTTAAGAGACTTGCCCAAGGTCATAATGCTAGGAAGTGGTAGAGCCAACACATGAATCCAGACCTTTGAATTCCAAGGCTTGTGTTTATTTCCAGGTCATTGCTCTGCTCTGCTTCTTTAAGAAGAAATATTATACCCAAGCCCTTTCTCCTCATCATTGTTCTTACTACTCTCCTCAAATGCCCTCTTTGCCACTTCTTTGACATCTAGTGTTCTTTCAGCTGCAAATCTTGGGCTCCTGTAGGTGAACCTCAAGTTGAGAGAGCCTTCCATCTATTCTTCCCAGTAGGACCCCCAAACTCACCTCTCCAGGGACCAGAGCTCCTTGGTGCTTTGCTGCTGGTACAGCTCGGGGAGTAGCTGCTAGGCTGGCTCAGGGCCCTACTGAAATGTTCATCCACCACGGAGCTGATGTCCCCCTGGAAATAGGTGAAGAGGACGCAGCGGGAGTTGATGTACTCTGCCTCTGGTGGGCGCTCTTTCTCTGGGCTGTCTTCCTCCTCTTTTATGCTGGCTGGGGTTTGGCTAGAAAATGAGGAGCTGCCACTGCCACTGCTGCTGGGGCTGGCGTTGCACTCTTGGGCTTCCTGCATTTTGGAGTAATAGGCTAGCTTCTGGAGAGAGGGAGGGAGAGAGAGAGAGAGAGAGAGAGAGAGAGAGAGAGAGAGAGAGAGAATGAATATGAATATGAATGAATGTCAGTTTCAAAACAGATGGTAAATTGGGTTCAGACTGAACTCCCTCATCCAAATCCCTAAGGTATCCATGGGAAAAGTGGCATCTGTGTGTGTGTTTGCCTTGTGCCCTTCACATAAAACCTGCAATAGGACAAGGTCAGCAGGACTTGCAACCTGCACCCTAGCAAGGGTGGGCTTCTTTAGAGGAAGGCTGTCTTCCTTGGTACCTCTGCCTCCTTGAGTTACTACTGGGTTGCAAGGAAATCTCTAATATGTGAGGATGATAGTTCCAGAAAGTGCTCAAAAAGTCAGGTTATGAGCTGAGTTTGACCTCAGAGCCCCAAACACACATTTTAAAAATCAGCCTCCAAGGATAAAGAGTACTTAAATCCAGGTAGGGCCTGACTGTTGCCTGCTTGAGAATCCAAAATAGAAGCACAAGATACAAATTAAAATTAAACATCCTCATACTTTTTAAATTTTTTTGGAAAAAAAGAACCCAAAATACAAAATACACTACCCACAACCGGGAATGTGAAAGAAGAACTGCCAGGAAGTGAGAAAGAGTTTAAGTTAGTAATAAATGGGGTAAATGTGAGATGAAATTGTGATTGGGGAAATATATGGATCATTTTAATAAATGCAAGTTGATATGTGTTTAGTTATCCATAAATTATCAATTTAAAAGTCTATTTCCATTTTTAAACAGATCTTTTAAGTGAAGAAAAAGCAGTGCTCTATGAATATTTCCACCCTTAGTATTTCATGAAAAAGAGCAAGAATAAGAAGGTTAACATCATGATTGTGAGGTTGGGTAAATCATGAGGTCTGACAGTGAGTTTATAAAACCAAGTGCAGCTGCTGAGAACATTTTCTTGGAAATGAGCAATGGCCTGAATATAGTGTTAAAGCATTCTGCAGGCAGAGATGGCCTTGGGGCGCCGGTGTTAAGCCATAGAAAAATGAACAGAGATCTTAGTGCAATAGATTGGTTCAGGGTCCAGGAGGAGAAAGGGCCAGACAGAAAACCAACCTACCTCTCTCCACCTTACAATAGTTCTGTCCTGAGAACGAGTGCATCTCAGAGGTTGAAGCAAAAAACAAATTTCAGTTATTTAGCAATGTTGCCACTTCCTAAAGGCCATTTTTCCACCTGGCTTTCAGTGACGTTTAGAGGATTCCTAAAGTTAGCATTGCAACTACAAACTCCAGATTGGAAATTTGAAAGAGGGAAGGATGCGGGAAGAAAACTAGGAACAAAACCTACCCAATTTATCATTCATTAGTCCATTTCAAAGTAGACATTCTGAACTCAAAACTGATGAAAACAGTGACTGGATCATTATAGTGTATTTCCCAAAGTGAAAGCCCAGGAACACATTTTCCAACCTGGTTTGGGCCCCAGGTGTGTGCTTTTGTTCTTTCCTCACAGTATCCTAGGTTTCTGCTAGATCAGCTGAGGAGATGAAGGAATCATTGACTAGATACAGCCCAAGGAAAAGAAAAATTGGTGGAATTAAATGAAACTTGAAGAGTTTGCAGGACCGGGGTTAAGTGGTCTTTTAAGTGAGTTTGTTGAAGCCTAGACTGCCTGATTCAGCTACCCAGACTTAAGAAATGGGAAGTATTATCTATGAAGCTCCATCAGTCAAGCGCACCCTAATGATATTCTCTAGAACCTAGCAAAGCGAAGATTAGGAAACCAACGCCTTCTTTGCGGTTCTGGAATTAATTGGCCCAACTGTCTGAGAATTAAACTGGAAGAAATTATTCCTGAGATAAGTAAGCTTACATAGAAAATAATGCAAGGGGTCTTTGCATCTCAGACCTAAAGACAGAGACTGGTCTTTGCTTTTGATTTTGTTGCCATTCTCACCTTCAGGACCAAAGTTTGGTGTTCCCCGCTTAAGCTCTGCCTGAAGCCCCCCTCCCCCCCCCGCACTGCACTAAGAGTCCTAAGTCCGACAGACTAAGAAAATCTAGCCCGGGATCCTCCTCTCATTATTCACAGGAAGACTCGGGTGCACACAAGCAAGGCTTAGCTGTCTTCCCAAGAGAGCGAACGGGCGAGCTAAAGGGGTTAGCTAAGTGAACAGCCAACTGGGTGGCAGCGCGGGCAGTCCCCACATCCCGGCGGCGCCAGGGGCTAGCCTGAAACCCTGGACACCCGGAACACTTCGGACCTTGGGGAACCAGCGGTATTCGGAAGATTGGAGGAGGGGAGTCATCAATTTTCCAAGTTTGAGTCCAGACCTTAAGGAGAAACGTACCTGGTGATAGGGGGTGTAGGCGGCTGCGAAGTAAGGCTGCGGAGGACCATAGACTTGGTACATAACATCCAGACAGCTCATGGCTCCCCGCCGCGGAGACTGTTAAATGATTTTTCATGAACTCTGGTTCGGCGGAGCTCAAGGATGCTGCATGGGCGGCGCTTGGGCCTGAGCTCCGGAGTCATCGGCGGCGGAGCGAGGGCCGGCTCGCTCAGCGACTCGGGATCCAGCTGGCTCGCTCCCCTCCCACTCCTGCAATTTTAGCCGGGGCTGCGCTCCCGGACAGAGCGCCTGGGCTCCCGCTAGTGGGCATTTAAACCCCACGTCCCGCGGACGTGCTGACGCCACACCCCGGTCTCGGAGGGGGAGGGATGGTGGGGGGCGGGGACCTGGGGCCCAATGGATAACAAGGGCAATCAGCCTAAGGGGCCACCGGCGTGTTTCTCAGAACTCCTTGCAGCAAGCGTGAGGCCAAGGGTGCCAGAGACTGTGAGATCCCGAACTTGGGGCCCGAAGCTTTGCACCGCTAGTAGGGCTTTCCTAGCCTAAAAGGAGTTGGGTGGGTGGGGGAAGGGGAGGAAACGAGTGGGGTGAGAGGGTGACAGGGACTACCGGAGAGAGAAAGAAAGAGAAAGAATATGAATCGCGCTCCTACAGAGAAAGAGTAATTGAGACTCTTACATTCAAAGAGAACGAAAGTCCGGGAAAATTCTGGTGGGAGAGGCTGATCCTCACATTGGAGGACTGAGTGTGTGGGTGGGGGAGTGGCAAGGTGCAGCAGATTCTCTGCTCCAGGCTCCGGGTGATGTGTGTTTCCCTGGAATTCCTAGGGGATCTGGGTCTTCGCAAACGGAATATTGAACAAGTCCAGGGACTCCTCCCGGACACAGAGGAGTTCCCACTTCGGGGAAGTGGTAGTGGCTGACTCCAGTTACCGCTTCATCTGCTCCACCTTCTTTGCGCCTCCTCCAACCCGCTCCTCCGAACTGAACTCCCCAGTTGCACTTTCTAGGGTTGCTCCCTTCTGTCCCTCTAAAGTTGAATCCCCCACTTTCCCTTTCCCTAACCCGCTAGTTCCGCATAGATCACGCATGATCTCTGGCTGCACCTGGTTCGAGAAGCTTTCGAGGAGTCTCTTAGGGGACCTTATTCAGCCTCCGAACACCTGGCTTTGCAGGCGGTGACCTCCTCAACCCGCGACTTTTAACATCTACATAATTTTTGGGGGGGGACATGGACCCGTTGAATTTAAGGGGTATCCTAGAAACTGCAGACACTCCAGAAAGGACTTCTGCTGCTTCTTCGACTGGTATTGACAAAAGCTGCGATGTTGTTTCATTTTAGAGAGGTGAAAGTATGCACTACCAATTGTTAAGCCTTCCCCGGGCGGTTGTGTCTTTGGCCAGGAGAACTCAGCAGACTCGGACCTCCTACCTGCAAATATCTCCACCTCCCCAACTATCCTCTTTGCAGCCTCCTGGGGAAGAGAATGTAAAAGTGGAATTTCTGTCTGAAGAGTTTAGGAATGAATTGAGACTTGGCTGTTTCCGTGGTAAGGTGGCGGGAAAAAGGTTACTGGAATGTGGCGGGCCAGATTTAGGTTGTGGCACAGAGTTGGGAATATTGAGAGCCCAACCCCAATAAAGAAGCAGTAAGGATAGACCAAAGAGAACCGCATTATTTACTCCTCTGTCTAAATTCAACAAAAAGTCTCCCAGATTCTCAGCTGTAAACAAGCAAACAAATACATTCTTGAAGAAACTTGTGTTTAAAAAGTGAATATTTTATTTCCATTTTTAAAAATCAAATCATTTTATTGCGTGGCTTGGAGGAAAGGACTGAAAAAGCTCTGAGGAAGACAAAGAGTTCTGACGTCCTCAGCTGAGTCTCGGGGTCGCTGAAAGTAGAAAGTGAATATTTTAAGTCAAATCTTTCCAGATGGAATTTTTGGTTTGCCTTATTTATAAGTGAACAATGACTCCATGTCTACAATTGGTTTCTTAGATGGTGAGCGTCCTGAGCGATTGGAGTTTAATTAACTACAATATAATTTATTTTTAATGAAAATTAAAACTTGAAGACAATGCCCTAGTGCAGTTTTACCCAAACCTCTTTTTTAGTTGCTGGGCTGACGGGTGGTTGAGCTTCCCCACCCCTACGATTTCGGTCAGTCTAGGTGCGCAGGTGGCACAGAACTTCCCTTCCACCTCAACCCTTCACGCCAGTGCCTGGAGAAGCAAAACCGTCAATCTGTGTCAAAAGCTAACCATTGACAGAAGGGCCACTGTACACCCCTCTGGATGAGAGAGGTAGAGAGTGCGGGCCCTTGTCTCGCTCCACACAGCTTTGCACTCTTGCTGCCCAGGCAGGGACCGCTCTGTCCAGTCCCGGCCCTGGTTTGGTCTCGGGTTGGGTGCCTTAAGATGGATCTAAGGACACCTCAGAAGCCCAGGTGCCATGCAGTCACTGAGCCCACTAGCAACGACCAGTCTGGGAGACTCCCGCGAGTGTCGCACTGCGTTCGCTCAGTTCGGGCGGTGCATCCTTAAACACAGAAGTTCCAATTGCGAAGCGCGCTCTTTTCCGCTCTGCCTGGCCTCACCAGCGTGGACCGCGGACGCAACGTTGCGCTGGAAAAGTGGAGTGAGAAGCAATGGACCGCACATCTTAGCAATTGCTTGGAAACTGCTCCTGTCTACACTAACCTTCCCTGTATGGCTCATCATTATTCCCCCCTCCCTGCCCCTTTGTCCATCCAAAGAAAACCACCACAACCTCTTAGATTTCGTCAAAGCACTGTTAAACATTAATTATTTTCGAAAAGAGAGATTGAGCAAATTTTGTACGAAGAAAATGAAGCGAATGTGATTCTCTTTGCCCAAGCCTCCTTTCTGTTCACATTTCCCAATCTTCTCTTATTTGCAACTGTTTTTCAACATCTAGTTGAAGTGAAGGGATGTTATGATGTCATTCAAGTTGAAAGGGACACAGGGAATTGGGTCAGTGTGTGTAAATTTAGGCAGGAAAATATTCCTTACCCCCCAAATCCAAAGTGAAGGAAGAATAAACATCTCGGAGTTTTAAAAACAGGTCCCAAAGACTGGAGCATATTCATTCTTTTTTTCCTATATGCAAAGCTGTCATTTACATGAGGGTTGTATTTCCCAACCTAAGAGCTCCTCATGTTTCTATGATGACACAGAAAGGTAACAACTAAATTTAAACACATTCCCAGACATTCAACCACCAAGTCATTAACACCATCCAAGAAATCATATTTTGATTCAGAACCTAAGATTACAAGTGGAACATAGAGAAAAATTCTCTCTTCCCTCAATCTCTTCAGTGCCTCTCTTCATTTCCATAAAAAAGCCTGCCAAGCAGTTAAAATGTCCCAGAATTTGGGTCCTAGGAACAAATGGATCAACACGGGAAGAGAAAGAAACTATTACCAATTGTTAATCTTTTAATCTTCCTAATTGGGTAGAGGGAGCATTAAACTTATTTTAGAAACAAACTCCACTCTAAGATTCATGACAAGTTGTTGAATTGTCAGGAGGGAGTCACATGAAAATAAAATTAATTCCACTACTCTAGCTGTAGTCTGCAATTTTAGCAATATCTAAAATTGTGAAAATCAATAACCTTTATTAAAGTTAAGAAATAAAATTAATCTTGAGTGAATATATGTTTGAAGGTAGCATTATATATAGCCTTGTTTCCTCTTCAGAAAGATTTGCCTCTTGTTTTTTTATAAACTAGCTGATTTCTTTACCTCTGAATTTTTTCTGTTACCTGTGTCATCATATTCTGAAAACTGCAAAGGAAGGACACATGAATAGAATTAATTTGGAGGACTGACTTCCAGCCAGCCCAGGCCCTCAATTGTCCATGGTTTATTTGGATCATGAAAGTTGGCATTTTGTGCTGCCTTATTCTGCCAACCAAAGGGGATGAACACAATGGTAATCTCATAGATTTTCCTCCCTAAACCCATCCTTGCCTGTTTAACTGAGGAGAAATGTGTTTGGATTTAGGAGAGCAGCTGAAAAGATTTTTGTGGATTCAAGCTGTTAATAATATTAGTTGAAAACATTTGTGCAAAAGCTAGTGTTTTCAGGCATGGTATGTTACATAGGAATAGTACTCTTGGCAATGGAGAATCTAAATAGGGGTTTTATTTTAAAGAAAAGAGTGGGGGTGGGGAGAAACCCATGTACTCTCTGTAACCTCATTAAACAGTTAAAAAAAAAAGGAAAAAGAGGGTTTGGTTGTTTTCATACAAAATTATCATCCAAGGTTAGTTCAAATGAATAGGTGAGACTACTTTATAATTTATTGACATTTGATTATTGTTAAATAAGTTAAATTTTGCCTTCTCCACAATTTTAACAGTTTTTATGTTATATGCAAGTCAACTTAAGCTTTGGTAAGACAGTCACAACTTTCTGAATTGATTTTTCTTCTGAATTCATGTCGATGTCAAAGCTCATTTCTAAGACCGAGAAAAATGCTATATTTATCTTTCAGAAATGAGTCATTTTAAATGAGTTTCTAGGGATTAGTTTATGCAAAGATATGATTACACAAATTTAACTCCTATAACTCAAAACTTTAAAAATGATAGCTTATAAATAACATAAGGGGCAATTGAAATAGATATGTATCAAACATTTTGTCTTTTTTAAAAAAGGAAAAATTAGAAAGAAATTTACAATCTATAAAACTTAAGTCAGAGAGCATGTGCAAGTATTTATTAATAGGACATTCTTCATATCTGTTATGCATTGAAAAGTCACCCTAATTGCTTTTAATTTCTGACCCTATTACATTTTTTTTCCTTTAAAGACACATGGTCTGGAAATAGCCTAGAAAATAACACATCTGTGAAACTCCATTTATAAAATACAGGAATATAGAGCAATTTGTAGATTCAGAAGGTGGAAGCAGACTGAAGGATTTAAACTGTTGACTTAGATATTTGACAGTATTGGTGTTGATCCAGTCCCAAACTTCTGTTTATAAACTTCATTTCAGCAGAATGCTAAAGGGATTAAAAGGAGACCACAGCAATAACAGACAGAAGGTGAAGATATCCCTCTGAGTGTGATGACCTGTCACATGCTTCAAGAGGTCTTGAAACAGCTTCTTAGAAACTCTGGTAGGAAGCTTCTCTTGGCATGCATGAAAGAATTTTTAGCACCTACTGCTACACTGGCATTGTCTGTCTTTAATTCCTTTGGTTATTGTAACTGATTTTTAAATAAATGTTATGATGATATAAATAAATTAAGTTTAGTGATGCCTTCAATAT